AATTTCTCTCCCTAACCTCCATCTCACTGCCTTTCTAACTTTCTTCAACACAGAGTTGAAATCTTAATCTTTAACTTAACCTAAGGGGGAAAAGAGCTGCAGAGATGACTTTCATTGCTAATTTTATGAAACTTCAAGGACAAGAGGTGAAGGAACAAACCAAAACACCAACTTAATTACATATTCATTAGAACCATAGAATCATAGATTGGGTTGTAAGGGACCTTAAAGATCATCGAGTTCCAACCCCCCTGCCACAGGCAGGGACACCTCCCACTAGACCAGGTTGCTCAAAGCCTCATCCAGCCTGGCCTTGAACACCTCCAGGGGTAGGGCACCCACAGCTTCTCTGGGAACCCTCTTCCAGTGCCTCACCACCCTCATAGTAAAAAATATCTTCCTTATATTCTAAATATATATCTAAATCTCTAAATCTACCCTTTTCCAATTTAAAGCCAATACTACTTGTCCTATCACTACATGCCCTTTTAACAAATTCCCTCGCAGGGAAAACAGAGTCCTGTACTCTTTTTTTCACTGCTTCCAAAATACTACAGTACAATATCAGTTCTACAGACCTTCACAGCGAGGTATTTGCATGCCAGTGACATAACTATATATAACACTCTTGGGGTTTGCACACAAAAATGTCAGTTGAAAACTGTAGTCCCAATTTTAACTGCTTTGAAGGCTTATTATAGTCCTGAGTCTCTGTTCATAGAGGTTGAACAATTTACTACTCATCTATGTTTGCCAATATTTTGATTTTATTATTAATCAGATATTACAGCGTTTGGCTGCTTTCCAATTGATTTGAGTGACATGTTCTCCTTCAGTGTTAATTAGGTGCAATCTCTAAGATCTGAAAGATAAGAGTATAATACTTTGGTACATTTCCTCTAAAATGTCTTTTATGTGATTTATTAGCTACACAGAGATTTCAACCAAAAACATGAAATAGTTCTAACTTGTAAAGTACTGGAATTCTAGGTCTCTGATTGAAAATTAATTTATCTATCAATTATCTGAGAATTTGTATAAATTATTTATTTCAATTATATTTACATAAAAGGAACAGAAGACAGTCTGTTCAGCTCACTTCAAAAATATTCTTCTTTGTCACTTTCTCTGCACTAGAGATCTGTCAAGATAAACCAGAGACACCATGCTAGATCAGAGCTAGTCAGGCCAGGCCCCTTGCATCTCTCTCAGTCTCCAGTTACTTAAGGAAAAGGTTTAAGGAAGGAGGAAGCCTACAGAAATTGTCTGTCTTTATTCCCTGAAAGGTCCTGCACGTGGTTCAGGGCAATCCCAAGCACAAATACAGGCTGGGCGAATAATGGATTCAGAGAAGCCCTGAGGAGAAGGACTTGGGGGTGTTGACTGATACGAAGCTGAACATGAGCTGGCAATGAGCACTTGCAGCCCAGAAAGCCAACCGTATCCCTGGCTGTATCAAAAGAAGTGTGACCAGCAGGTCGAAGGAAGTGATTCTTCTCCTCTACTCCACTCTTGTGCGACCCCACCTGGAGTACTGCATCCGGGTCTGGGGTCCTGAGCACAGGAAGGACATGGACCTGTTGGAGTGAGTCCAGAGGAGGGCCATGAAGATGATCAAAGGGCTGGAACACCTCCCATACGAGGACAGGCTGAGAGAGTTGGGGTTGTTCAGCCTGGAGAAGAGAAGGCTGCGAGGAGAACTTCTATCAGCCTTTCAATACCTAAAGGGGGCCTTATTATTTTAAAAAGCAGTTTGTGTTACAGCACCTTAAAGCTTAGAAACTACATTCATTTCTATTTAAGATAGGGGAGAACAAAGTATAATTGCCTTCCTTTACAGAGGAGGCTCAGCTTGAGGTGAATAGGATTTAAGACCCTCACCTTTCATATTTTCTATTTGCTAATTTAGGTGATTGCTTCAACATGCTGATTGTTGGCCATAAAAAGAGTAAGCTGCAGTGAGAGTGTAAAATGAGGGCAAATACACTTTTTACCTCTCTGAATGTGGGTTTTCAGCAGCAAAGGTAGATGCTTATGAAGAAGGAAGCAGGGTCCTGCAGAGATGCAGCTGTTGCAGAGCAGCCTGGTACCCCTGTTTGTTGTGTCTAACGCTCCCTGTGCCTCAGAGAAGGTGCTGATGTGTCTTAGTGCCACAGACCCAGCTGCGACACGAGGGCCAACGTTGCCTCCATGGATCCAGCCTCTGGCGTTGCATGTCTCAGGCAGAATTTGCCTTTTTGCGATTGTATCTGAGAAGTTAGCCATGTCTGTCAGCTTTCTGATGCCCTTATCCGTGTTACAACAACAGTACCTCCAAGATGAAGCAGGGAGGGCATCTGTGAATAGATTTTGATGAGAACTGGGGAGGAATAAGTTTGTTCATCTGCTGAACGGTCCCTCTGCATCTGGCAGCTGATTGCCTGATAAAACAGGGAGCATGGTGGCAATTTGTTGAAGATAAGTGTTCTAAGGCTTTCAAGAAATGCAAGGAAACAGGTTTCAAAAAGTCACAAATTAAGAAAAGAAGCCTGATTACATGGGGTCTGAGGAAAGTTATGGCCCAAGATTGCTTATTTTGCATCTCTATTAAATTCTGATTTCTCTACATGACAAAGCACCTTTGGCTCACATTAATTTCAGTGTGGTTGAGAGTGAACAAATAGCTTAGGAAATAAGTTCAGTAGTTTTTGGGGAATTTGAAAGAAAAATGGAATCACAGAGAGCCTAAATCGTACTAAAGACTGTTCCTGTACTGTAATTCTTTCTGGTCTGTCAAGAACAATGTCTGTCAGATTCTCCTATATCCTTGACTCCTACACCTGTTCTTGCTATGATGCAGTAAAATCTTCTTATTTAAACCTTTAAAGGTAATTTTCTATTTTTCCATCTCTTCTGTAGGTAGACAACGTTTGTGATGCTTACTAAGGAACTTGGAAGTGGTCCCTTCCTTTGCTCAGAAGCTTCTGCCAAACAGAAGCAATAGAAATAATTTATTCACCAGTCTGTCCTTTCTCTTAGTGTTTTTCTTTAACTTTGCCACTTCTCTTGAGAGGTCATTTGGAACCTCACAGTTCTGTTTTTTGAACAAGATCCCTTTCTTCCTGGTACATGTAAAACATAGAGCACCCCTCTACTTCTTTTAGACCCAAAGACAGTATGAAAAATGTATCTGATTTTTTTTTTTTTGTGCAAAGTATGCAACATTATTCTACCCCCTCTTGATGGTGTTAACTGAAATACTTTGGTTGGCTTTTGGATTGGGCAAACTAGAAACTAATGAAGAATTTATGGTTTTGTCTTTGTGATAGTTTTACTAGCGTGAAAAAATTGTGAATGAGCGTGAATACAGTCCAAAAGGAATCTGTAAAACACATCACCCAACTGCTCACCCTTTGCAGGGGTCATAGTGCGTGTCTGCAGACTTCACAGATTATTTGCATTTATCAATTATACTAATTATACAGTGGGATGGCTTTATTTTTTACACTGGAACAGATGTTTATGGGAATTTCACTCCTCTCATGATGTTTATTTGGCTGCCTTTCACCATGGCTTCCAACCTCTTTCTACATAAAATCAGTAGCAAAAGTGAAATCCTTACCAGTGTTTGTCTGCCTCTTCTAGTTTTGTTTTGTTAGATGATTAACTGTTTTTTTTTTCTTAGATTTATTTTATTTTGAAAAGTGGAACCTATGGGTAGGCAAGTACCAAAGTTACAAAAGTTACAGGGAAAACTTTTCCCAGACATAAAATAAGCAGGAAAACAAAACTTTTGGAATGTTTTGGAATGTCTACAAAACTTAGTCCAATTTCTTGATTTTTGTAGAAGTATAATATGCTACCTATTCTTTTAAACTCTTATGCTGTTATAGAAGCTTTATCGGAGACATAATTGGCTGCGCTATAGGTTGGTTCAAAATATTTGTTAAAAGATTACTACTCTTATATTTTCAGTCATGATTAGTAAACCAACGTTCCACTCACTTATTATCTTGGGTTTGTTTGTTGTTTTTGTTTTTGTTTTGTCAAACAGGTGTGTTTTACGAAGTTGTTCAGAGCTTTCCTCAAGTGGAGGAAAATGTGCAAGTGGATTCACATGTGAACAGCCACAGGTGGAGAAGGCATTCAGAGTCTCTCAAATCAGTTGACACCAACAGAGCCAGCATGGGCCAAGATTCTTCTGAGCCAGGGGGGTTCACAGACCTGCTGCTTGAAGAGGGACAGGACAACACCACCCAAATAGAGGTAGACATTCATTCCATCTACTTTTTTAATTCAATTTGTTATCTTTGATTAGGGGCAAATAAGAAATTAAGACATTTATTTCTGTGTACTCAAGCATTGCTAGGGTAAGAGTACCTTATGGTCTTTGTATTTTTGACCCTGTCAGCACATGGAAGCCAGCTTTTTCTCCTGTCCTGGGGCTGAAGCCTTTCCTGCCTAACTTTTGAAGATGGTCTCTTGAGGATGTCTGTCTTTCTGATGGAAAATATTTATGGGAAGTCCCATGTTGTAACAGTTCTTAAAAGTTTGGGTAAATACCTGTATTTGTGAGATTTCCTCTGATCTTTATGGAGAGTGGTACCCAGACATGAAGGGGAAAAGGCCTTAGAGAAATAAGAAATGGGGAAAAAATTCCAGTTTGGTCATTAAAAGAATTTGACCATTCTGTTTGATTGTTGATCTTCCAAAGAAGAACAACGTGGTTCAAATCCATCTAGATGAAATCTTGGTACATCAAATCCATCTAAATGAAGTCTTGGGGCATTCTCCCTCTGTTTTATGGTTTAATTCAATCTCTGCTTGTTTAAAAAACTTTAGTGGCTCAATTGCCCTCATATAGACATAACACAAATCTGAGTGAGTACCAGTTCTGTCTTTAAAGCTGCTCTCAGTTTCAAGTAGTGTAGGGACAGCAGGACTTGACTGTAATGTTATGTTGTGATTGACTAGTGCAAACTGCTTCCATCTATAATGATTTGTGGGAATTCTGCTAGTTTATCTTGGTGGTTCTACATAAGCACACTGGCTGAACTGATTTTGTCTTTATACACAAATAGCAACTGCTAATAATAAAATTATTGTATTTTTACTGATTTTTTTTTAAAGTATTATGTTTGGGGTTTTCCTATTAATAAAATCTGCAACCTATCTTTCAATAAAATACGGTTTTAAATAGGGTACACTCAACGTTTTCAGTCTTTGTATTCTGCTTCCAAAGGAACAGTGCTATTTATTTTTTGGTTCTGAGGCGCTCACTCTTAGAAAACAAAATGGTTTTCAGGTTTTGGGGTTGTTATCTTGCACAACAACAAAAGCGAAGCAATATAAAACCCATCTGTAGAGACGATAGTGTCTCTCCAGCATGAGTCAAAAACTAATAATGCTTTCCAAGAGGTGTGTTTTGTGTTTATTGTTTTTTTTAAGCTACCCAGTTTGCACCATACTAATGATGTTTCATATTGCATAAACATGGAAGTTGCTAATGGGTAAATTATATTTTTGAGTTGCATGTTGATTTTATGATTTGTTTTTTGCCCCCTGTAATCCGTATCTGGCTGTACTTGTATCAATTCACTTGGACACGACACAGATCGATCCTGCTTCTTGTCATTTTAGCAGGTAAAATCGAAGATGTTTCAAATACAGGAAAGTGTCTAGCTGATCTTTCCGTGGCTTACCTATAGATCCCCCTGCAGAGTCTCTATTCCAAGTTGACTTCCAAGCTCTTACGAAGTAAAATGGGTCAGAGCTCCCCCTCTAACACTCATATATGGCAATGTTCAGGGAAAGAAAAAATGAATGCTTGCACATGGACATATGTAGAATGGTATTTTTCCAGGGCATTCTTTCCTGACAGATTAATGGCCTTATAGTGTCTTAACCTCAAAAGTACATCACCCTTACTTAGTTTATTGAATTTGGGTTTTGTGTTCTGTCACAGCCCTTTCTTTTTCTGAAGTCTTCCCAGCACGATAAGATAACGGAGTTGTGGTTTTACATGTTATTAGATTCCGTTGTCAATCCCTACTACAACACACAGGCATTTTACAAAAAACCTTGATACCCAGCTTTGTAGAGGAGGTAAAGTGTGCAACCGGTATTCACAGAGGATGAATCCTTATTCTGCAAAGTCTTCTGCAGCTTGGAAGCTTATCGGTAGTAGTCCTGGAGAGCATATTGATTTTTGAAACCCTTCCTCTGTGTGTGTTGCAGTACTTGCTGAAAAAAATCTGGAAAGTGAGTACTACCTGCCACTCATATTTAATGACACTACAGAATTACAACATCCCTCCATCACAGATACTATTTCTCAACAAAGTATTTTGTAGGCTTGCCATGCAAATGTGGAAGACTTCTTTTACTGGAAAGCTGACAGTGATGAATGTATCTTTAATTTTCACTAGACGTTGTTTTCTGTTTTTCTTTATAATGATGAGTTTATGTTCTATCCAGCTTTAAAAACACAAACCAAAACAAACACCCAGCCTGCCTGTCCTGCCAAAAAGCCCAAAACAAACAAAAAAACCCTAACCAAGGACAAAAGGGAAGGCAACTCCAAATGTTTCCTGTGTTATCAAATCTATATAGTCACCATGTGGCAAATAATAAAATGAACCTGTGTGTAGCATAGTTTAGTTCCACTGGCTTTTCTTGATATTTTAAGGTAATGAGGCTTGTCATTCATATTTTTCCATTAGAGTTATTGGGAGTTCTGTAACTTCACAGCAGCACCATCCTGGGTCTCCCATCAGCCCTGATCCATAGGCTGTTTTAAAATCAGCTTGAGTGAAACATGAAGTTCAGGCCTTCGTGAACAGCTATAGAAATGGCATTGTAAATCAATTTATCACATCTTTGCAATAACCAGGGTGGACCTGCTCCTATATGTAGGAAAGTTGATAATGGCCAGATGTTCTTTAGAGATGTTGGCACTCTGGTCCAAGAGCTGGAGCAATGCAGCCATTAGGGACCCTAGAATATTCACTCTTTGCAGCTCTTATTCCTCCTCCATTTGTTTGGCACTGTGATTCAGGACAGTACTCATGCAAAATGATGTACATATTCAGGTGCTTTTTTTGAATAAAGATATTCTCTTGAACTGGACTCTCTGGAAGTTAAACTGCATTGTGGAGTCTAGCAGGAGTAGTGGCTATTAGCCTTTTGATGTGCAGGACTTTCAGAAATGAGCAGAGCCTTGGGAAGGAGAAGATGAGACTTCCAAGTCTCATTGTAGTGCTGGAGAATAGGAATTTTGTGGCCCACAGGTGCAGTGTTGTAGCAGCAAAACCCTGCAAAACTGGAGGTGCCAAGCGAAAGGCAAAGAAGAGGAATAAGAGGTTTCTGCTGTAAGCCACATTTTTCTGTGAATGTAGCATTTGTGGTCTTTCTGGAGAGCAGATAGTGAGCTGGAGATCATAGGGTAAAATCAATGTATAACAAATGCTTAACACAAGCACTTTATAAAGCAGTATGACAATCTTGAAAATATTCCTCTTTTTTCCTCATTTTGTAGTGTTATTACAATGTGCCAGTTAGGGACTAGAATGTTGTAAACCCAAAAAAACTCACAAGGGTGGAGGTTGGTCCCATTTGCTTTATTTGTAACTGGAACTTTAGAGCCCACATACAGAGGAGGGAGAGCATGTAAGACTCTTGGGCCATTCTCCGCAAGTGGTTTATTAAGGTTTCATTCCCCCTATATAATGTAGCCAGAGAGAGTGAGCAAGCTCTAGAGAGGGACGGGTGTAAAACGGGTGAGATCCAGTTTTGTACAGATCGGTGCAAATGTTACAGTCATAGAGAAATCTGCAAAGCACATAGCCTTGGGATAGGCAGAGAAACAGGTGGTCAGCAGTCCAAATTAACTGCATGGTCAACCCCAAAAAGATAATAGTGATGCAGTGCATATATAGTTGTGCATTACTAAGATTTTGCATAATAATTCTTCCACAGTTTAAAATGTACCTAATTTTTCAAGTGATATCCTGTGATTATGGCTATGTAGAGCTCTGTAAGGAGGTGATTCTCCTTTTGTGTTTTTAATTGTTGTCTGTTTATCCCAGATCCTCTGTAAAGCAGCTTCAGCTTTGGGCTTTATACAAGATTTCTAGGCAACTTGCTTGGTCCTTCGCTTCACCATTCTCTGTCCCTGTTCCTTGTGACTGCTTAACCCCTTGTGAACAGTACAACACTGAAAAGTAAAATACAGAGGAATTTAAATGGAGCAGTCTCTAATATATAGTTTGCCTTAGCATTAGCAGAAGATGACAAACTTTGCAAAATAACTTTGGGACATGTGACTTACTTTTGATTTGTTGCCACTTTATAGAAATACTGCATCAAAACAAGAGTCTTTCACAAACTTCCAATATCAAAAAGAAATCCAGGAATAAAATAATAGATTAAATCATAGTCAGGCTTGAGCTGCGTGCAGCCACACTAACAGTAAGGTTTTATTGCTTTGTACCATGAAAAGAGTGAGAAAAACATAGTTTTTCTTATAAAAGTCTTAGAAGAGAATGAGCGATTGCAACTGCAAGGCAGAAAAAGATTCAGTTCCAAGCAAGCAACAGCACGCTGAGCATGCTAAGTCAAATCAAACTTCACTGTATCTTACTTTTTCCACTCCTCCCAGCATAGTACTTGTGAGTGTAGAAAATTGTGGTTATTTCAGTGCAAAACAAATATATTTTTTCAGTAGTGAACTGATTCATTTATTTCTGTGGATCTCGTTGTTATCTCCTGCTGTATATTGCTTTTAATGAAGACAGAGTTGTTTCTGACTGAAGATACCCTTCTTTATTTTTCTGTCCTTTATTTAGTTTCTGTAGGTGTTGTTTGAAATATAAATTTTAGCAATTCCTGTAATTTAGACCTGGAAAGTGGCTTGCCCCTATCAGAATACCACTGGTGTATTTCCTACTGGCAAAAATGTTTTGCTGAATTTTGCATTTTCTCCCAGAGTTGCTGCCCAGAATAAGGCTTCTCCCTTATCAGTACCACTCACTTGTGGAAGTGAAGATGTCTGATTCTGACTGGCAAAAACAACAGAAGGTATTGAGTTTTACAGCCCTTGGGATTTGAGAGCAATTACTCTCAGCTACTGACAGTAGTATCAGCAAGCCCACTGCTGTGTTCTTACTGCAAGTCTGAGCAAGGAAAAAAATAAAGGTTAAGATTAAATTTCACTCATCTGGACAAATGATAAGCCAGTCCTGTGATTACTGCTTTAATGCACTGTA